ATAATCTGATGTGAAAGCACATGTTTATAGCTATCTGGGTAACATAAACTCAAATTTCTACATGTTGAAAATGAACATGTTTTCCTTCAACTCTCTTAGATTTGAATGTGTATATAGTGGATTTCCTGCCAGACATCTTAATATGTAATTACTTTTACAAAATATATTTTAAATTATAACGGATAATTAGAAAGTCATAACAAAGGTCAAATGCAACTATTACAAAACAAACTCCCATGTAACTACCATGCAGGTTGAAAAATGATACACTGCAAATGGCCCAGTTCCACTTGTCACTTTTCAAATCACTACTCCTACCACTACTGTTTTTTCAACTTCGCTTGAGGTGACCTATATTCATCCTTTTCTTTTTTAGGATTTATTTATTTTGCTTTTTGTGTCACACCCGACGATGCTCAGGGGTTAGTCTTGGCTCTACACTCAGGAATTACTCCTGGCAGTGATTGAGGATGCTGTAGAATTGAACCTGGGTCAAGGCATACACATACAAGGCAAATGCCCTTTCCACTGTTCTATTGCTCCGGCCCAATATTCATACTTTATATTGACTTTTCTTTGTGTTTTACCATCAGAATCTATCTCTAAATTCTCAAAATATATCTCTAAAATTGCCCTTTGAAATTTATATATATGCATATATATGTGCAATCCTTCGTTTGTCTATTCAACTCAGATTTATGCAAATTAATGCACCCATATGTTGCATTTAGGCTGGAGTGATAGCACAGCGGGTAGGGCATTTGCAGCCAACATGGCCGACCCGAGTTCGATTCCTCCACCCCTCTTGGAGAGCCCAGCAAGTTACCAAGAGCATCTCACTTGCATGGCAAAGCCTGGCAAGCTACCCATGACGTATTCGATATGCCTTACATACTAACAAGTCTCACAATGTTACTGGGCCCACTCGAACAAATTGATGAACAACGGGAGGACAGTGCCAATGACAGTGATGTTACGTTTGGTTCATTTATCTACACTATTCCATTGAATTTACTAAAACATTCTTCCATTCTTAGTCTACACTTGCACTATTTTGAGTGAGTTCGTTTGGTTTGGGTTTTTGTTTTTGATTTTTAGCTTTTGGCTCTTCAGACATACTTGACAGTGTTCAGGGACTACTTTTAGTGCCAACCTGAGATTTGCTCCTGGCAGTGATCAGGAAACCATGATATGCCTGAAATTGAACTGAAGCCTGGTCTCTTGAATAAAAAGCTCAATCTTTTGAGCTCTCTCATACTAAGTAAACTCTCAGGCTCTGAATATTTCTATTAGCATTCTTTAAATATTGTTTGATGCACTTGTTTTGGTCTATTCCTACCGGAATTACAGGGTCAGTTATGTGTAAATCAGATTTGCCTCACAAAAAAATTTTTAAAAATTCAAAAAGTAATTTCTTTCATATATTGTTACATTTTTACACCATGAAAATGTAACTCATTAATGTTTACATTTCCTCAACTCTAGAACATTGGTGGTTCACAACTGGAGTATCTATAACTGTCCCTTTGCCTGCTCCTTCCTACTTAGGAAATCAATCTAGTCATGTTGATTTGATGGCTATAGCTTCCTTCAGAGGCTTAAAATGATGTTTTCATGACGTTCACAAAGGTTGAATCTGGGGTTTTCTGGTACAGCAGATGAAAGACTGAAGAGAATAAGCGTAGTTGGAAATATAGCACCCATGGATTCAACTTCAGTGGCCGTGTATATCTCTATTATTCTTTCACTCGCAAGTAGGATGCCTTGTACTTGCATGCACTGAAACTATGAATCTTCTTGCTCTCATTAATGTGAGACACTTTATTCAGTCTCATTGCCATATTTTAGAAGTTGTCATAATACAGGGCTTTCTAGTCCTTTCTGTATTGGTACAGAAAAAGAAACCAAAGAAAAAAGTCTGGCTGGGCTGGAGCGATAGCACAGCAGGTAGGGAGTTTGCCTTGCACGCAGCTGACCCAGGTTCGATTCCCAGTATCCCATATGGTCCCCTGAGCACCGCCAGGAGTAGCTACTGAGTGCAGAGCCAGGAGTAACCCCTGAGCATCGCTGGGTGTGACCCAAAAGAAAACAAAACAAAAAAAAATCTGGCTAGGAACACACAATTTCTACAAATTTCACAATAGGTTACTTGCACCAGTCTTATTGTGTAAGTCGGTGTAGAAAGACACAAGACCTCTAGGATACTTAAATGTGCTTCGAAAAATTAGTATTCACAACGAGGGACTAGATGGACCCAGGGCAAGCGGTGAGCTATGTGCTACCCTGGCATCAAAATAGGCCTGGCCAAAGTGCCATAATGCTTAACTACAAGTTAAGAGCATGGTCATGGACAAATTCTGTCATGATCCAAAAAATAATAACTAGATTCGGACCCTGCTAGGGTTAGGAATGATTAATTCGGACTGAACACTCTAGTCTGAGTCCGTGGCGAGATGTTCCCAGGAGAACCACCCTACAAGCTCAATGTATGTCTTATTGTGTCCATACAAAATAACTAATATTAAGAAGTAGAATGAAGATGTTAATTAAGTTATAGGATTAAGGAGAAGAGGAATAGAGGAATACCCATAGGTGTGTTTCTGCCCTTGAGCCTGATGGGCAGTCAGGAAGGGCTTTCTTATGTTGATGTTGCTACTGGACTGGGTGTAGTGTCTGCCCCCAATGCTGGAGAGTTGGGGAGAGACAAGAGAGTTTGGGAAGATGAGAGAGAGAGAGAGAGAGAGAGAGAGAGAGAGAGAGAGAGAGAGAGAGAGAGAATGGAGCAGCAGGATAGAGTGCGGGGAAAAGAGCGGGAGGAGAGACAAGAGAAGATGGGAATGGAATGAGGGGCAGAGACTAGAATGGGGGGCTCAGAAAGACTGGAACAGGCGTGTGGGAAGAATAGAATAAACGGCAACTAATCAAACAACTGGCTTGGTCCTCGTTTCCTCCGTCTGCCCCATGGCACGGGCCGCCCAGGCTGGGCAAGCAGCCCAAGACCATCCAACTCGGGCAAGCAGCCCAAGACCACCCACCCAGGTGGTAAGGGGGAAAGCCACTGGGGCCCTCCTTGAGCTAACCTGAAGATTAAACACTGTCCGACACTTTTCCAACAGAGATCAGGAAGTATTAAGTTTCTGCGTGACCACTAATTAAAGAACGTGGTTTGGGGCAGACCTTTTAACTTGGCAAAGCCTTCATACCTTCGTCTCGAACTGGAAGGCATCAGACCCGCCTCACCCACCTCAGAAGGATCAGATTGAAGGAACTGGAAAGATATTGGAAGAATCAGATGCAATAATGGACATGAATGTGTTTTTGGGAACAGGTTCTGGTAAAGATGGAGATATTCATAGTTTAATATTTGTACTGAATATTTGTATCTACCTTTACATTTCTTATTTCACCTTTAAAATTTGTGCTACATGTATTTTTGTTAATTGTTCTCCTCACTGCTGTTTGGTGTTAATGTGCTCTCTGTAGATCTAGATCAACCCTCTTTAGAAAGTCATCTTTCTAGGAGTCAGCCACCATGGAGCTGTGCAGGAGAAATTTCCGGTTTGATCATTCATCAAATAAAGCAGCTTTTATTATTTTTTTTAAAAATAATATTCATTCAGGGCAGGCTGAGATAGTTGGACAATGCTTTTCTGCAGGAGGCTGAAATGTCAAGGTTATGAAATCACAATCTAAATATTCCATGGAGGTGGCACATATCTATGAAGAAAAATATAGTCCTTGCCAGTAAAACTGAGAGAATAGAGGTCATGAAAATGTACATCATTTAAATCCAAAAATGGGGACTTAGAGCGATAGCACAGCAGGTAGGATGTTTGCCTTGCATGTAGCCAAGGTGGGTTCTATTGCCAGCATTCCATATAGTCCCCCAAGTACCGCCAGGAGTAGTTTCTGAGTGCATGAGCCAGAAGTAACCCCTGTGTACCAGGTGTGATCCAAAAAACAAAAGAAAAAAAAAAGGTATATGACTAGCCATGAGAATTCCTTGAGATCCCCCAAAGGTATTTAGGATATGGAAACAGACCTTCATCTCCCAAACCTTAGACCTAATTACAGGTTTCACACAATCTCCCAGCAGAAATAATACAAGCTCCCATTCCTGATGTAGATTTGTCATTATTTTCTTTAATTGAATCACTGAGAGCTACATTTACAAAGCTTTCAGTTTGCGGTTCCACCAGTGCAGATTTTCCACCATCAATGTCCCCAGTATTCTCACACACACACACGCACACAGTCCTCCCACTGACTCTATGGCAGACAATCTCCCCCACACTCTACTTTTGGGCATTATGGTTTGCAATAGATACCGAGAGGCCAACACGTTTGGTCCGTTCTCTACTTTCAGCACCCACCTCCCATCCCAAACTAACCCACCAGCCATCACTGACTTAGTGATCCCTTCTCTATCCCAGCTGCCTTCTCCCCCAGCTCATGAGTCAAGCTACCGACCATGAAGCAATATTCCTGGCCCTGTCTCTACAATCCTTGGGTGTCAGTCTCATATTAACATTAGTCATGATTTTTGCATGGGTGGCAATTTAATACTATGGCCTGCCAAGTCAATAAAATTAGATGCACGGGCTTACAAAGTGTGTGACTTGAAACCCGGTATCTGAGGCTGTGATCCTTTACATAGGCGCTGTTCCCGGATACAGGACCTTGAGGCCCAGATTTGCTAATCTTAACAAAAAAAAAAAAAAAAAAAAAAAAAAAAATCATCTGGCACGCATTCTGGGGCTGATGCCAAACAAAAGGGCCAAGGGTGCCTGGCTAAGATTGCCCAGCTGCGTTTCCTACAAACGCATTTTGTTTGTTTGTTTGTTTGTTTGTGTTCCTGCAAGCTGTGCGGGAGCATTCTGAGCCTGGCCTGCCGTGCTGTGCCGTGGTCCCCCAGGGGACCCTGCAGCCGGGTCCCGCCGGCGGGGCAGGTGGCGGCTGCCCCCGACCACGTGTGCGGCGCGGCGCGGCCCGGGCAGCGGACAGGAAGGGGCGGAGCGCGCGCGCCGCCGCGGAGGAAGCCCGGGCGGCCGCAGCGACAGCCGGAGCCCCCCGCCGCCGCCGTCGCCGCCGCGCAAGCCCCCCCACTGCGGCCCCATGGCCCCCGCCGCGGCGCCCTGCTCGCTGGCCCTCCGGGCCCCGGGCCCGCTCGCCGCGCCCAGCTCCTACGGCGTCTTCTGCAAGGGGCTCTCCCGCACCCTGCTCGCCTTCTTCGAGCTGGCCTGGCAGCTGCGCATGAATTTCCCGTACTTCTACATCGCGGGCTCCGTCATCCTCAACATCCGCTTGCAGGTACACTTTTAGCACCGCCACGGGGGCGGCGGCGGCGGCGGCGGCGGGCCGGCATCATGGCCGACTCCCCGGAGACTCGGCGGCGGCGGCGGGGAAGGCGGTTGTCACCGCGGTCTCGCGAGAGCTCCGGATCGCGCGCGCACGCGCACACACACGCACGCGCGTGCGCGCGCCGCACTCGGCCCGAGTCCCTTCTCCCCCGCGCCTGCGCTCTTCGTTCCCAGTCGCCGAGAGCCGCTCCGTGACTCGCCCGAGCCCGCGCGCACGTTCTGGGGAGGCTGGAGAGTTGGAAGTGAAGACCCGGGAGATGAGCCTCGGACACGCGCTGCCTCTGCCGAAACCTAAAACGTTAGGACCGACGGGACGAGGCGTTCAATGGTGTGTGTGTGTGTTTTTCCTCCATGACGCTCATCGGCCAAGCAGAAGAAAAGGATGAATTTCGGGGCGATTGGACGGTGAGCAAGCAGGGACCTTGGAAAGGAAATGAATGAAGAGCTGCAGGCTCCGGGATTGCACCGTGTGCATGTCCTCAGCCCTCCGGAGAAAGCCCTGAGCCGGCAGGAACTTGCAAGATGGACTGACCGTACAGGAACTGCATCCTTCCAACAGAAAAGGAGGCCAGAAGTTTGGGATTTGTAAGCACATGGACTAGATCTTGGAGCCAAAAGAGAAGGGAACCCTGGCAAACGCGAAGCGTGGCTCTTTCGTGCATCACCTGTAGATGATCATACCAGTGTCAATGCTGTTTATGGTTTTCATCTTTGAAATCAAAAAAAAAAAAAAACGCAAATGTTAGCCTTGCTCGTGTGAAAAGGACCGTTTGTTTTACCAAGTCGCGATGTTTAGGAGGAGAATCAAGGTAAATTGAATGCAGTGCTACCCTTACAGAGTGGGAAAATTAGAAGTCGGGTGTGCTTTTTTAAAGGGGAGCACTCCGAGGGGTCGCGCTGTAAAATTGCTAAAATTACATAACTGTATTTAGAAACGAAAATTGGAAGTCAGCAAGAAATGTCAGTAGAAGCAGCTTTAAGGTGAAATATCTCCCCCATATCCCGCGCCTCCCAAAAAAGGGGGAATTGAGTACCTGGTGTATTTAAATGCCGAGACCAGCGAATTTTAGTTGTTTTTGAGAGTCCGGAGATAAAGTTGAGCATTTATGGACCCCGGGAAAGAGAAACGTTTTCCCAGAATTGCATTGCATACCTGAATATGTGAATAGTGGTAGCCAAAGTCACTCATCATTATGTAAACACTGAATAGAGTTATAACAAAATTATTATGTAACCTTGGGGGCAGTGAAGGGAGAGATGTGTGTAATGGAGAAAAAGCAATCCCCTTTAGCTAGAACCAGTCAGATTCTAGAAATACAGAAAGGTCAGTTACATATATATAAATAAGTTATTCAGAAGAGCATCCCAGCCAAGAGATTGTCACTGAAAAATAAAATCCGGGACAGGTAGAAAAGGCGGGGAGCACTGCTGTGTTTTCACTAACAGTATTATTTGATGTCTTAACTATGTGTACTTGATTAAAAAATTAATTTCAATTGTAAAAGTGGTCATTGAAGCGTACTCCCTTGGTTAAGAGCCTGCAACGTTAAATAGCATCAAATTTTAAATCAGGCAGTTCTCTTAAGAACTGTGTCCGTTGGATATCTGAGTCCATTCATTCTGCATAAATCCCTGTTTTCCTATCAGATGACAACAAAAATACCCACCTGCTCTGCTTGGCCTGAAAATTAAAAACACTGCTTGCTGGATAAACAGTGAATTGTGCCTGTTAAATGATACTTCATTTTCATGGGAGTGAAACTCCAAGGGGGTCTCTTAAGTGGAGGTGTTTTGGTTTGGAAGGAGCTGTGTAGGACCCTGACCTAGTAAGGTGGGAAAGACAGGACAGGAAGATTTCAGTGAGATATTCCTCATGAAATGGGCAGGATTTGCCAAAGTCCAAATGGAGCTATTTGCAGTGTTCAGACCAGGGTTTCTCAACCTTTTTCCAGCTCTGGCTCCCTTCAAACTTCATTTTCAACCTGGGCCTCCACTGCTTACACTATTTTCACCTCTGCCCAGTATGGAATATAAGGGGGCTTTTGTGGCCCCTCTAGACCACTAAACGTGTCCACAAACAAATACATCTGAGGGTGGGAAAAGCATGTTCCCCCCAGCACCGTGTCTGACTTTGGATAATCGTGATTCCCACACTTTAAGCATATCCTTTTCTGACTTACCGCTGGGTTTCTTTAATGACTCCTTAACTGCTTGCTCAGTTTTAATATGAGGATTGTCATTAGTTAATCTCTAGTTGGGCCACTACTCAAGCAAATTTAGATGATATTTTCATTTACTGAGGTAAAGTCCGTGTACAAGCCTTAACCTTAACTGTTTGTGTTTTAGGGTTACCATGTCAGTGCCCCTCACCCACACTTAGGAAGATCCTGCCCTTTTACCCACCTCCCCTGAGGTTCTGTGGTCAGAGTTTGCACTTATTTTCCATGGACATCCTTTATTATTACCTTGCTCTCTTACTTACTCTGAATGATATCATCTAGTATTTTCTCCCTCTGACTTCACTGGCTTAGCATGACACATACAGTTACTTTACATGTTGTATTTCTACCTTTTCTACTTCCTTTCTTATTTGCCTTTGTTTTAAAATGAAACAGCATGTCATTTTCTTCCATCAAATTTTCCCCAGATTCTCCTGACCAGATCATAGTACCTTTATGTATTTATGTGATCTTTAGGCCACACCTAAAGAGTTTCATCTCAAAATTCTATTTTAATATGAAGAAAAAGCAAATGTTTGCAATCATACCAACCCTGTAACCCAGGCTTTGAGTAGTGTGTGTGTGTGTGTGTGTGTGTGTGTGTGTGTGTGTGTGGTGTGCATGCGCACACTTCTTTTATCAGGTTAAGAGCCTTCAACGTTCTAATTCCTTCATCATTAAGCACATGGGAAGTGTGAGTTTCCAAGGAAATGTGTTGTGGCACGCAAAGGGTGTGAGCCGTTCAGTGGCCGAGAACCATTCCCCTGGCTGACCAATGGATGACGGACGAAGGACCAAGGGAATGGAGAAACAGGGACTGACCCCAGGCTGGTTGGTAGCACAATTTCTCTCTCCTCCCCAGCACAGTCCAATCTCTCCCTTTACAGCACAATTGTCGTAGTTTTGGTCGTAGTCCAGTCATCATAGTCCCATCATCCTAGTCTCTAGACCTGAAAATCCTCTACCCCTCTTAGCCTTTACAATATAGTTATATAGCAATCATGAAAGATGGGGGTACACATAGGTGGGGTTGAACGTTGTCATAACAACAAACAGGTAAAGCCACTCCTTCAGGGGAAGTTCTAGGAGATTAACTCAAGGACAAAATCTCATCTGAGGGTTCAGTGCTCCAAATTACTAGGAGATCTGCTCAAGGGCAGGATTCCATCCAGGGTGTATTGCTTTCTCCTTTCCTCAGCTAGTAATCCATTTAAACAATAATATTTCTAGTCATTTTGTATGAACACAGTAGGAGACATATTAAGCTTAAAGGTTGGCTCTTCCTATGGACATCTGCTATATATCCCAGACTAAATCCTCAGGCCAGTTGTGGGAGTGACTCAGTAAACGTAAGCTCTTTTCGGGAGGAGCAAGGACAACCCAATGTTACCCAACAGGAAGTAATGAGATAATGAATAATCCTAATGAGGTATTTACTACTAAATCCCACTCAGAGCAAGAGCAGCATATATATATACTTGTTGGCTGTTTTTTAACCGAAAAACATACTAAACCAAAATGTCCTAATATCTAAATTTACATATAGCCACTATGATTTCAAGTACTGCCTTTCCTAAGGCAAAATAATAGCAGTGACAGTGAAATTTTCATACATGGTATCCAGCAAACAAATGCAGTCTAAAAATGTAAATCTCAGGGCCAGAGTGATAGTACAACAGGTAGGAATCTTGCCTTGCACACTGCCGACCCTGGTTCAGTCCCTGACATCCATCCCATATGGTCCCCTGTGCACTGCCAGGAGTGATTCTGAGTGCAGAGCCAGGAGTAACCCCAGAGCATCGCAGAGTATGACCCAAACAGCACCCTCACCTCACCCAATTCCCCCCTAAAAAAAAATTCTCCAGCTGGGAATGTGTTCTGGGGCTAAAGAAGTATATATACATATATAATTAGCATCATTTTTATTTTATGGAAACCAGTGGATTCATAGCCCAGTTAACCTGGATCAAGAGTACAATTTACAAAATCCTAAAGATTCTTACATTCTTTCCAGCATCAGACCAAACTATGCTTCATCAAAATTAATTTACAGATCCCATATTTTCAACATTGATTTTCTAGTTTTTCTTTTTTTTTTCTACCATTGAAGAATTGAGTCAGTCCCTATCAAATGTTTGCTCATTATTAATAGCTTTTTAGTTTATAAAAATTACATTTTAAGCTTACTGAAATTTGTAATGAGATTAGGACGATATTATCACCTGCTAGCATCAGTGTTATTTGCATTTTCAGCTACTTTGATTTCAGTGATTTAAGTGCCAACCATAAGGTAAAGGTAAAGGCCCTCCCGTTGATCGTCGATTTGCTCGAGCGGGCCCAGTAACGTCTCCATTGGAGACTTTGTTGTTACTGTGTGTGGCATATCGAATACTCTCGGTAGCTTGCCGGGCTCTCCGAGAGGGGCGGAGGAATCGAACTCGGGTCGGCCATGTTGGCCGCGTGTAAGGTGAACGCCCTACCGCTGTGCTATCGCTCCAGCCCAACCCTACCGCTGTGCTATCGCTCCAGCGATAGCACAGCGGGTAGGGCGTTCGCCTTACACGCGGCCAACATGGCCGACCCGAGTTCGATTCCTCCGCCCCTCTCGGAGAGCCCGGCAAGCTACCGAGAGTATTCGATATGCCACACACAGTAACAACAAAGTCTCCAATGGAGACGTTACTGGGCCCGCTCGAGCAAATCGACGATCAACGGGAGGGCCTTTACCTTTACCTATATTATATGTATATACACACATGCACACACACAAACATGCCTAAAGCACATCCATTTAAGTGGAACTCTCGTCAGCTTCCCTACTTCCTTATTCCTGGTGAGTTGATTGTGTGATCTTCCCCAACAAAGGACACAAATGTTCATATAGTCTTTGCATGTGCACACACCACATAAATCGTCACAGTGATTTTTATCCTTATAAATATAAGTGGTTTTGCACTTCAGGATAATTGTTCAGTTTCTTTTTATAAGTGCAGTCAGTTGTTTTATGGTTTTTTTTTTTAATCTTAGTTTACACAGATAGTGATAGACTTTCTTGGATTCCTAGAGATAAATAGGGATTTTGTTTTAAAATTTTTTATTTCTTGGGACTGGGGAGATAAGTCAAGAATGAAGCACCTTCCTGGTGTTTGTGGGGCCCAGGCTCAATCCCCCATAATGCATGACCCCAGCATTGGTGAGGAGGCTGAAAAAAAAGACATCTTTTTAAAATTATGTCTGCTGTAAACTTTCTGCTTCCAACATTTTTATTCTATTTTGGGGAGATTGGGCCACCCCTGGCTCTGCTCAGGACTGACTCAGGGATCACTTTTGGCAGGGCTCTGGCAACCCTTTGAGGTGTCTGGGAGCCAGACTGGGTCAGCCACATGCAAGGCAAGCACCCTGTCTTTATACTTTCTCTCCAGACCCATATTCAATTTTTGACCTGTTTTAACTTAATACTCTATACAAGAAGTCCACCTGCTCTTGCTTGGAAGAAAATTTTATCTCTGAATAATCTCATCTTCTCACCGATGAATGTAAAAAATATTTTCCAAAACACATAAAAATAATACATGTAGTATTCTATGTCTTCCCTTCTTGAGAAGTCCCAAATATTTTCTGGGTACCACCTAGTTAGAATAACAGTTCATTTGCATTTTAAAAATTCCAATGTTTAAAATGTGGGTAGACTTGTCAGTTCATAGACCTTCTAAAGAAAGCCTGTGGTGCTTGATATTATCTAAAAGATGCTCAATAATATTTAAAAGAATGCAGTTAGGTAAAGAGAGAGAAGTTAAAATGGGTCTTCATGGTCTCATTAACTCATTTCTCCCGAGAGAGAGAAAATTCTGCCAAAGGGCTGCGAGGAGCAGGTTTCACCCTGTTTTCTTTCTCAGGCTGCATTCAAGATGCCCCAGAAGCCACAAGGTGGTCTGTCGCAGTTTGCTGTGGCCCATAATCAGGATCAGTGAGTGGCCCGAAGGAAACAGAGTCATTATTAAGGAGAAGGCCAGGTGAGCTTCATATTTGTATGGTATGAAGAAAGCCCAACCGACTAATATGGTGGTAGTCAAGTGAACCAGGAACAGGAGGAGGAAGGACATCACCATATGCATCGCCTTTTTGTGGGCCTCGGTGCTGGCGTCTGAGCAGCTGGCGCTCAGATGCAGGTTCCTGGTGTGTCTCTTCAAGGAGACAAACAGAAGCACCAGGGAGCCCAGCGAGAGAAGCAGGGGGATCAGGTAGATGAAGTTAAAAGCCACCAAGCTGTTAACGTACAGAGTTATCGTCATATCTGAGGGCCAGCTTGAGTTTTCTTGATGTGTCCTGTGCCAGTTAGTCCAGAAAGCCGTAAACGTATCTGACAACGCAAAGTTGAAAGAGAGTAAGAGTGAAGACCCAAGGAGAAGCATAAGTAGCACTCGGCTAATTCTCTGCCTCAGCCAGTGGAAGGAGGGGTGGGAGAGATTGGCTATTCTTAAAAAGTAGAAAACACTCAGACAGGTTGCAATCCAGACAGAAAAGTGATTGTTCAGGGCCCAAGAAATACTAAAGAGTGCTGTTACTTTGTCACTAGTGTATAGATGTGGCCATAACACCAGTACAAATGACTCAAGTAGCAGTATCCAAAGAAGATTGATCCTGGAGATGGCCAAGCTGGTGAGGAGATAGTCCACAGTGGAGAGCTTCCGGCCCTTCCCCCAGTCAATGCAGTTCACCAGTACAATGAACGCGTTCCCTACCTGTCCGACTATGAATTCTCCCATTGTCACTATCAGAAAAACGTTTTCAATTCCAGATGGCATTTCTGTAGAAAGAATCCACGCTAGTTTCACTGACGTGTTTGCTGGGGAAATGTAGAAAAATTTCCGTTGGATGTTTCTCACTTTTAAATTAAAAACATTCAGGGAATCTCAGATACCACGCCAGATATCTTCACAAGAGAACTTTCTCCCTCTCGAACTGTTTACAGCTGTGGGCCTGAAAAAAATGTGCAGAGACCAAGTTCCAAAGGCCTAAATGAGAAACTTTACGGTTGCTTTCAATCAGTTACTGATTTCCAAATTAGAAAGTGACCGTGCCTGCCCATAGCTGACTCTGGTAGTGGATCTGCTGGGTATGTAAATATGCAAATGTAAAGTTGATTTCTTTCCACTGGGTTGTACTTTGCTGTCCACTAGAAACGCAATACTGCTTGGATTCAGGTATTTTTGTTTTATTTGGGGCGGGGGGGAGATAGGGCAGGGGAGCTGCACCCTACTCAGTGCTCAGGGGTCATGGTTCTCTGGGGACCATTCAGGCTTCCTGCTTGCAGTCCAACGTGTTGAGCTTTCTCCCCTCCCCTTTTAAGTTTCTTAAGTTTAGTCAGTGGCCTCTATACTGCAGGCGTTATTCATTATTTCTATTTAACAAAACCCAATGTTCAGATATTCTTCAGATGAAATACGTGTGCTAAAGGGAAACCACACAAATTGCTCACAGAATAGTGAAGAAAGCAATAAATAAAAGTCTTACTACTGAATGAGGCAAAAGTTTGACCGAAGTCCAGTTGCATCACCTACATTAGACAAGATCTCTGGCCAATAGTTAATTCTAGTTTCAAGAGGATAGTAACAAATGGCTTGTATCTTGAAGCTTTGGGGGATTTCTTGAAGAAATGGGGGAAAAAATCAGAGGATGATATAAAAGAATACCAAAATCATATCTCTGTCTCTCTCTTAGATACTATTCTGAATATATAGATATGTGCATATATAATTTTAGGGCCACACTAGCTTTATGCTTAGGGATCACCCCTGGAATGGTTTGGGGGGACCATATGCAGTGCTGGGGATCTAATTGCATTGGTCGCATGCAAGGCAAATGCCTTACCTGCTGTAATGTCTCTCTGGCCTACTATGGAATTTTCAGCTTTGCTTTCAGTAAGTTACTACCTATTGGATTCTGAAAACGCGCTTGTCAACCCAAAGAAAAAATTCTAAGAAAAAAATTTAATCAGGTAGTAAGGTCAGGTTTTCCCGGCATTCCTAGCTAATAGCATCACATTTGAACACCGCTGCCAAACAGGTTATTTGTCAACTACAGTTAAAATTGGGTGAATAGGAAATGCATTCTCAAAGAACAATGGATTCCTGAAGGACCTTCTTGGTGGGTAGAAAAACTGTTGCCTGAGATTTGGGGGCATGAAAAGCAGACATTAAGCAATTCTCAGTTCCATTAGATTGTGTTCCAGACCAATTAAGTCATAAAAATCTCCAGGGATGGCACACAGAACTATCTAGTCAGTTTTGACAAAGCAGGTGGCCCATGGGTCATTTTGACCACTTGAGTTCATCACGACTGACCCAAGTTCGATTCCTCCGCCCCTCTCGGAGATCCCAGCAAGCTACCGAGAGAATCTCCCCCACACGGCAAAGCCTCGCAAGCTACCCATGACGTATTTGATGTGCTAAACACCACAGTAACAAGTCTCACAATGTTACTAGGCCCGCTTGAGCAAATCGATGAACAACAGGAGGACAGTGACAGTGAACTCATCATTACACTGGAGAAGAAACTTAATCTAAAGCACATAATAATAAGTAGAGAAATCACAAGGGTTCGATGAGTGAACTCCAAGCTATTAATCACATTTTTGTTCAATTTTGTTCAGCTACATATCTCTCTCGGTTCCTGAGTTGAGTTGTCTGTGTTTACCACACATTTTTGTTTGTTTTAGGGCCATATCCAACAGTGTTCAGTGGGCATAAGGGATACTCTAGGCTAACTGCTCAGGGAGTCACTCCCAGAGGTAGGGGGAACTGTATGATGCAGAAGATTGAACCTGGGCCTCCTGCATGCAAAGAATGCTCACCCTTCTTAGTGCTTGCTTTGCATGCTGCCGACCCTGATCCCAGGCCCCAGCCGCTCCCCTGAGAACCACCAAGAGCAACCCCTGATCTCTTCTGGGTATGGCCCCAAAACCACATCCCCCCCCAAAATATTTATAATTATGATAATAGTGGGAATCAGAAAAAATACAGACATGGATTTTTATAGTGATTCATTGAAAGAATAACTAATAAAGAATAATTCCTCTAAGAAATAGTGAGAAGGGGGCTGGAGCAATAGCACAGCAGGTAGGGCATTTATTTACCTTGCATACGGCCAGTCTGGGTTCGATTCCCAGTATCCCATATGGTCCCCCAAGCACCACCTGGAGTAATTCCTGAGTGCAGAGCCTGGAGTAACTCCTGTGCATCGCCGGGTGTGACCCAAAAAAGAAAAAAAAAATAGTGAGAAGATGCATTCACAAGTCCACTTTGACCTAATTCAAAACCCTGTCCTCTGGGGTGTTATTGAGTAATGAACTTTGTAAAATGTAAGTAGCAGTGACTCTACCAAAGACCAAGTGAGAACCTCTCACTAATACTTTCACGTTCACTGTTTGACTTGAATTCATTTTGTGAGTTTCTTATGCCTCCCATGAAATACAAGGCCAGAGATTTCCGTGTGCCCCTTGCCCCTCCCCCGCCCCCACATTTTCCTCTCTTCCAGCTCTCAAGAGTCAGCAACCAACGCTCCATTCCCGGTGATTTACACTCTAGCCTATTAATAGCAAGTTTTTCCATGAATCTGCAAGCAAAGACATAGCCTCCTGGGTTTTTTTGAAATCACAACTTGGAACAAGCATTGAATTTAGCGACGATTTCTTTTGTATTGATCCAAGGACTGACTTTTGTGTCGTGTGGGGAAAAAGAGACCTTCAATCATTCTTTGGCTCTATTCTAAACCAAGAAGCAATTGCTGGGACCAGGGCCAGAGCTTGTAGGGTTAGAGATCGTCTTTCACCCATGTACATTATTTGTAGCTTAATCACTGCAATCCATGGACAATCCTGTCATGCTTTATTGCAGACTCTTGTTTCACTTAAGAGTCCTTTAATTTTCAAAACTAAGCGTTACAATGCTTTTTTTGTTTTCTTTTTGTTCTCAAAGTTTTTAGAAGGTAATGTATCCCCAGCAGCTCTTTCTTATGACAAACCTAAGATAGAAACATTCCTTTTTTTTCCCCCTCAATTTTCATTTTTGGGTCATACCCAACACTGCTTGGAGCTATTCCCTGTATCAGTATTCAGCTGATGCTACTGGAGGTGCTTGGGGGAACATACTACACTAGGTAACCAGGTTTCACACTTGCAAATCTAGTCCTTCACCACTGGCCACTTCCCCAACTGCCAACAGGGTCAGTCTTAACTCACTAACACATCCCCACACTGGTAAGGAGAAGAGTCTCAGGCTTAACATACAGATAATTGAATGTCTTCTTAGTCTTCTAAGGCTTCATTTCTATTGAGTTACGAGGAGACAAAAAAAAAAAACCAGTCTGCCTATATATATTCCTCAAATCCACCGAACTATTCAATTTGTTTTTAGGAAGATTGGTATTAAATTCCTACGTAGGATATTGATGATTCGAGACCAAAGGCTTATAGACTAACTGTTGAAAACCCACTGCTCTAGCCACAGTGTGTTAATGATAGAATTGGGAATGACTGTAATGATGTAGAAAACGAAATACGTCAAAAATCAAAATAAAAAAGTGAAAGAAAGGGGTCTAATCCAACTCTTGCAGGAGGGAGCACCTCCTGAGAGACAACAGATAAATTACTTGAGAAATTAGGAAAGCAGCTTACCTTTTGCTCAGAGATGAACAAAGCTATGTGCAGGCACACGGGTGGGGGGTGGTGAAGGTGGACCACAGACAATCTAAGTGACACCCACACTCAATAGGATTAAAGAAGACATCTAGATCTGGGCATCCATGATAGACGATTTCAGCAGCAGAAAGCAGGTTACCTGTTCCTCTCACATTGGGGAATGGGTTGAAATAAGCAGTGAACATTTTTTTTAAATAAGCATTTATTTGGTAGGCAAAGAAAAGATAATCAACATCAAATGAATGATTTTTTTCCTCTTTTCCCAATGCTCTGGTTCTAGGGTCAGAACTAATTGCATCGGTCCTCCTCCAGATTGGATAGGCCTGGCAACGCTTGTATGGTGTATTGGGAATGGCTCTTCTTGGATAAGGCTGGGAATGCTTCTGAGTCTTCCTAAAAGGCTCTTGTTATGCAGAAAGTGGATGTGAAGAACTTACTTCCATTTTTTTTACAAGTTTCTTAATAAAACGCACACACACACACACACACACACACACACACACACAGTTACACTTTTCTCTTTCCTTCCTGTGCAAAACCCAGGTATTGAAACCAGATCTTCTGCAGGTTAAGTCTGTGCTCCAGACCTTTGAGTAATCTCCTGGCCTGACACCCTCTTCCTTCTCATTAAAGCCATCTTCAGCATCATTGTGGGTACTGATGCTCAGAAACACCAATAGCCTAGCTCTGCTTAAGGTTTCGCTTCATTCATTTGAAGAGGGAAAATAATATTCTCAGATTCCCACCCTGAGCCTTATTCATAATTTATAGGTACCTTGTTTAAATTTAGAATGTTAAGAGTCAAAACAATAATGCATACATAGGCATGTCTAAAATTTCCACCAAATAATATTCTCAGATCTCTTAAGCAGTCACTTCCCTGAAGCCTTAACAAAATTAACTCATAGCCCATATTATCATTGCTTAACTTCAGATTTTTGTTTCTTTAACACAATAAAAGATACATTAACACAATAAAAAAATACACAAAGGGTGAACCATACAAAGGAATATTTTATTTTTAAAGAATTCCATTATATATAAATGTATATATAGCATCATTACAGTATGATAAGCCATATCATATTAAAATTTTATAGCAAACTTTCCCACCCTGAGCCTTACTCATAATTTATAGGTACCTTGTTTAAATTTAGAATGTTAAGAGTCAAAACAATAATGCATACATAGGCATGTCTAAAATTTCCACCAAATATGTAGAGCTCCACTATAAACTTTATTTTCTGTGCCTTCCCTAATGACCTGCTTCTCTTTGTTTCTCTCAGAATTGTAGTGATCAAATTACAACAAAATGTAAATGCAAAAGGGCCAAGATGTGGCTTTGTGAGAAGAGCTGATGCTTTGCATAAAAGAGGTCCTGGGTTTGTTTCCTTGAAACTTCAAGACAAAGCACTCTTAATTCTCCACTTCTTCCTCCCTCTGGTCCCTGGTAACCCCACCACTATTCCAAAAAAAGAAAAAGTATATACACAAACATAATCATTCTCAAAACATAATTATAATCTTTTACTTTTTTATTTGAATTTTTTATTGAATCACTGTGAGATAGACCCTTACAAAGATGTTCATGATTAGGTTTCAATCATATCCAACACCCATCCCTCCACCAGTGTACATTTCCCGGCACCAGTAGCCCCAGGTTCCCGCCCATCACCCCCCAGCCCACCCCCAGGTGAGCCACATGCAAGGTAAGTACCCTATCCACTGTATCGTCCCTCCAGCCCAGTTTAATCTCCATTTCTAAATTGATGTCTTTCCTGTACACACAAGTTACAATTATTTAATCTTTTTTTAAATCCATTTGGGTCACATAGTGATGCTCAGGGGTTACTCCTGGCTCTACACTCAGGAATTACTCCTAGCAGTGCTCAGGGGACCATGTGGGATGCTGGGGATCCAACCCATTTTGACTGCATGCAAGGAAAATGCCCTTTCCTCTGTGCTATCATTCTAGCCCCTCTCCTTTTTGTATACAATTAAATTAGGTTCTCTTTGAAAAAAATATTTTTAAGTTGGTAACCAGTGTTTTAACCAAGTGTAAAGTAAAAGTAAAGTAAAGGCCCTCCCGTTGATCGTCGATTTGCTCGAGTGGGCCCAGTAACGTCTCCATTGGAGACTTTGTTGTTACTGTGTCTGGCATATCGAATACGTCACCGGGAGCTTGCCAGGCTCTGCCGTACGGGCGAGACACTCTTGGTAGCTTGCCCGGCTCTCCGAGAGGGGCGGAGGAATCGAACTCGGGTCGGCCATGTTGGCTGCGTGCAAGGCAAACGGAGGAAATTTACTTTCTGCTCAACACTGCTTAAAGGACCCCAGTAAGAAAGAAGTGAAAGTTGATCCTCCATGTCACTTCTTTAAGTCTTTATTTCTGAAAAAGACTACAGAAAATCTTCCTATGTATCCCAGATGTAGTCATAAAGAAATTTTGAAGATGACATAGTCCCTTCAAGGCTGTCTGTCTTAGCTTGCTGTTCCCCAGAATCAAAATAAATGAATGGCCTAAAGGAAAGACATATACTGCTAGCATGAGAAATTTGCTTAACTTATTATTCCAAAACATATGAAATATCCAGTTTGACAAGAGTGTAGAAATGGAATGAACCATGGCAAGGAAGAGAAAAGACATCAACATTTTCATGGCCTTTTTATGAGCTTCTGTGCTAGTGTCCCTTGGACCCAAGGAGTTGAGTTGCAAATTTCTGGTATGTCTCACCATGGACAGAAACAGAAATAACAAGGAGATCAGGATTACCATACTAGGGATGCAATAGGTCAAATTGAGAAAAATCAGGGATTGAACATACAAAGACTTTCCTATATCGAAAAACAAAGTAAGATTGTGTGCATGTCTTGTAGAGGAATTCCGGAAGGCATCATTAAATGTTTCTAGCAATAAAATGTCAAAAATCAGTAAAAGCAAAGAAAACGCTAGCATCACCAGAACCACTCTGTTTGTTCTCCACTTGATCCAGAGGAAAAGGGGATGGGAGTACTGAGCAATCTTAAGGAAGTAGACAACACTGAGGCAGGTAGCAAACCAAGTAGCCAAGTGATTAGTTATTCTCCAAAGCAAACTGCAAGGTTTTGCAAGTTTATAAATGGTATATAATTCTGGGAATGGTCCCATTACAAGTGACTCAAACAAATAGACCAATAGTTGACAGATTCTGGAGACAGCCAAGCCAGTGAGAATGAGGTCAAAGAAAGAGATCTTTCGGGTCTTGACCCATCCATAGCAGTTTACCAGTCCAATGAAAACATTGCCCAACATTCCAGTTATGAATTCCATCATTGCTAGGGTCAGGAAGATAGTTTCCAAACTAGTGAGCATTTCAATAAGAAAAGATCCAGATTTCTAATGTCGGTCACAGTGATAAATTTGAAGGGAAACTTGCACAGCATTCTTTATTTCTGACACTTGTCTTGAAATCAAACTTGTACAAAGCCCCCATTTCTGATACTTCTTTGTTTTCCTTGCAAATTTCAGTCTTCAGTAGAGCTTTGAGTAGACCATCAAATACAGTCTCTTATCTGCAAAAGAAATTTTTTCTTCTTTGACTGCAATTCTCATCTTAACACAGAAATATTTGCTAAGTAACCTCTTTCCTAACGTATGCTAACATTTATTGACAAACGCTGTATAGCTCAAGAAACTCAACTGCTTCTTTTAAAGAGCTACTAATTTCTAAACCAAACAGTTTTTGTGTAAATTTATCATTAGCATCTACTAAAATTTTCCGCTCATCGCAATGATTAACAGGTTAAAGTCAAATTTGTTGGCATGCAAATATGGGTCAGATTGTTTTTCACTGATTTGTGCTTGCCTCATCATCTGAAATACTATGCCATCTGCATTCAAATAGGTTAGTTTCATTGAAAACTCTAGAAATCATCTAAACAATTTCATTATTATCCAATGAAGATACTTTGTTGAGTACCTGCTTTGAAAAAAAATCAGTATTATTAGGAAATCTACAAACTAGTGAAAAAAACAAAGGAATCTGTTCAATCTCCAGCACCCCATGTGGTCCCCTAAACCCACCCGAAGTCATCTCTGAGTGCAGAAGCAGGATATTAAACCCTGAGCACAGCTGGGGTGGCCACCCAAAAGAAGATAACTATAAGCATTGTGTAGGGGAAAAAATAGGAATGACATTTGCCTTGAATTTTGAAGATATTTAGGATTTGATGAGGAAACTGGAAAGTCATATTTGACTTGACACAAAACCTTAAAATACATCTCAGAAAGTTTTTTGATGATACACTGTCAGATAAATTCATCTAAATTTTCCTCACAGTAATTTGTGTCCAGTTAAATACACTACCCAGTTATCTTTAAATGTGTTGTATTTGTTTTGGCCACAAGCACAATTCCATTCATTTAGACTTATTAAACAGAAAATAGGTAGAAAATCACTTTAAGTCAATAAGGAAACATTAACATATTCTGTTTTACATTCTAAAAACAATGATTTTTTTTTATATTTTTATTTGATTTTACTTAGTCAGTGTGCATTAGATAGTTACTCATGATTGGGTTTCAGGAATACAAGGTTTCAACACAAATTCCTTCACCAGTGTCCTCTTCCCTCCACCAATGTCTCCCCAACTCTGTTTCCCACCCACACCTTTACCACTCAAAAGTGCTCAGGGGACCATATGGAATGCCAAGGATCAAACCTGGGTCAACTGCATGCAAGGAGGTTGCCAGCAGTGCTTGGGGACCGTGCAGTACCAAGGACTGAACCAGACTTATTGCATGTATATCATAAGCTCACTGAGCTCTATCTCCATCCCAAAATAATTTTAATATTATATTAATTACAAATGCATATAAATGCTACATATTTCTTCTATAATTTGCTCCATAATTTTTTGTGAGATTTACCTATGTTGTTAGATATTCCTTTGTATTTCTTTGATTTTTGTGTGTGTCTTTTTTGGGGATCTAACATATTGCTTGTGGCAACTCCTGGCTCTGTGCTCGGAAGTTGCTCCTCATGGTGCTCAGGAAACAATTGGATCAAACCCAGAACTCTCAAGGCTGATGAGCTGTCTCTAGGACTCTGCAGTATTTTTATATTGTATATTGTAGTTCATTGCAAGAACATGTCGTTAGTAATTCATCCCACTCACGTGCTAGGCATTCCTACTGACTCCAGTAACTGGATATTGATAAGAATATATATGTGTTAGTTATCTTGGTTAACATCTAAGTTAACGGGGTGGAGTAGGTGATGACTAGGAAAGGCAACACAGCTCCAAATTTAGGAGATGGCTCTCAGGAAAAGTTCTAAGCACTCTCATTGGTGGAGACCCATACCAGCATCGTTCAGTTGTTCTACAATATCCCCTATTGTAATGTCAAACTTCTTTTTAAATTTTTTTTAATTTATTTATTGAATCACTGTGGGAAAAGTTACAAAGCTTTCAGGTTTAAGTCTCGATCATGCAAATATCAAACACATTTCCCTTTACCAATACTTATTTTTCACCACGAAGGACCCCAATAAAAACCCACCCCCCTAACCATCCCAATGCCTGTGAGGCAGATGAATTCTAGTTAACACTCTATCTACTTTGACTAGATTCATTGTTTTGATAAAAGATTCACCATTATTATTTAGAGTTTACACCCCCAAATCAGACATGCTGAAAAGGCATTGTGAAATGATTTGTTTTCTACAGCTGGGTTCAGAAATTAAGCGATGTCACAAGGCCATGATAGCGGCCACGCGGTTTTGGATTTCTGCTATTTTACTTATTAACCCTGGAAGTATTTCTGCTGAGAGTCAGATAATTAAGAGATTGGTTTCTGTGCTCTGGAGTCATGGCCGTGCGGGAGAGCCGCTCGTGGGGGGCAACTGGTGACCTCGGTAGGGCATGAAGGACGAGACGGGAACGCCCCCCTTCCCATGAGGTTTTAGTCGCCTCATCACGACCAACTCATACCTGGCTTTCCACAAAGCTCCCAAGCGGCTGCCATCTTTCTTTCCAGAAAGCTAAATTTATTTTTTTAAATCTCTAGTCGGCAGCGCCTGGCAAGCTACCCTTGTTGTACTCGATATGCCAAAAACAATAACAATGATGGTCCTCATTCCCCTAACCCTGAAAGAGTACGCAGTGTGCCACCGGGCTACACTAGCACGTGACAGGGACAAATGGAGATGTTACTGGCACCTGCTCGAGCAAATCGATGAACAATGGGATGACAGTGATAGTGATAGTGATAGTGAAATCTCTAGTGAAGTGCCTTCTCTGGGTGGTTTTATTTTGTTTTGGTTTGATTTTTTTTCTTTTTGGGTCCTGGTAGTGCTCAGGGGACCATATGGGATGCTGAGAATTGAACCCGGGTCAACCGCGTGCAAGGCAAACGCCCTACCCACTGTGCTATCACTCCAGCCCCATTCTCCAAGTGGTTTTAACTCACATTTCTCCGTATTACACAAGTCGTGCTTCTTTTGAAATGTATGTAGCCATGTTGCTGCCCATGAATTCCTTCTCATTTATTTTGTTGCTTTTCCTGTAGAGAGCACTATTGAACTGCTTGCCTTCCTAGCTATTATTTTCCTTTTTAAATATACAAAATATGATTTTTCAAGACTGAGGCTTATTTCTTCCATTTTTTTAAAATTTTTTATTAGTGAAACACCATGAGGTACTGTTGTAGTCTTACAAATTGAGTACCCATCCCTCCACCAGTGCCCATTTTCCACCACCATGGATCCCAGTATCCCTCCCACCCCCGCTCCCCCCATCCCACCCCACTCCTGTGGCAGGGCATTCCCTTTTGTTCTCTGTCTCCTTTTGGGTGCTGTGGTTTGCAAAAGAGGAACTGAGTGGCAATCATGTTCTGTCTATAGTCTACTTTCAGTATGCAACACCTATCCTGGGAGGATCCTCCCAACACCCTTTATTTGGTGCTCCCTTCTCTATCTGAGCTGCTCCCTCCCCTAGCGTGTGCAGCTGGCCTCAAGTCATGGAGTGAACCTCCTGGTACTTATCTCGGCTATTCTTGGGTGTTAGTCTCCTATTTTGTTACTTTATGTTCCCCAGATGAATGCAATCTTTCTGTGTCTATCCCTCTCTTTCTGACTCATTCCATTATTTTTTATTGTTGTTTTTATTCTTTTGGGGCCACACTTGGAATGCTCAGGGGTTACTCCTGGCAGTGTATAGAGAACCATATGGAATTCTGGGGATCGAATGGGGGTCTGCCACATGCAAAGCAAGCGCCCTTCCTGCATACTAGATCTCCAGCCCTTTACTTCTTCAGTTTGAACTTGAGGTCTTTTGGCGAGCATCTTACTCGCCGATTTTAGTTGCTCAGTGCCTGAGGGCCAGCATTCAAGAGACAAGAGTTAATGTGAGAAAAGCAGATTTATTCAGGAGCTAGCAGCCTGAGAAGATGGTGAACTCAGATCCCAAAGAAAACCATCTTGTCATCTTGTCTTTTATTTTGTTTTAGGGCCACACCTGGCTGTGCTCAGGACTTACTCTTCACTTCAGAAATTTAACCTGAATTTTAAATTTTTTTCCAAAAATATTTGTAAGATAAAACTTGAAAGTGTACTCATATTTTAACTGAGGGATACAAAATGAGCCCTGACAGTAGCTACAGTGTACTTCATTCCCTATTACACACTGCCACCTAGCAGGAAGCCAGCAAAAGACTTTCAACAGTAACTTCAAAAATGGAGTAGATTTGGACCATCCTCTGATGCTGCCATGCATCACCTCTGGTTTGCAGGCAGGAGGAAGATGTTCGAAAAGTCTTCACATTGGTGGCTGGAGCAATAGCACAGCAGGTAGGGCACTTCCCTTGCACATGACCGACCTGGGTTCGATCCACAGCATCCCATGTGGTCCCCCGAGTACTGCCAGGGATAATTCCTAAGTGCAGAGCCAGGAGTAACCCCTGTGCATCACCAGGCGTGACCCAAAAAGAAAAAAAAGTCTGCACATTTAGTGTGCAGAACCCTCAACGCCTAGGACCAGCTTGGCACTCGACAGCAAGGTGGACCAGAGGGACACAACACCTTGCTGTGTATCTTTAAGTCCCACACATGAGAAAGATTATTCTGTTTCTATCCCTTTCCTTTCCACTTACTTCACTCAGTATTATAGTCTCTAGTTTCATCCTGTCACAGCAAATTGCAAATTGCAAATTGCATGGAGCTTCATAGTATTTGTGTGTGCACGCGTGCGCACGTGCGTGTGCAAGTACAATTACAAACAAAGATGTGCATATATCCTTTCAAATTAATGTTTTTGTGTTTTAGGGTGGTCTCCATGGAGGATGAACCAGATACAATGCATGAAGATTCCTTT